CACCGCTACCGGCTTCTCGAGCTGTGCACGCGCATTTTCGCGTCCCATCGTGATTCTCCCAAGATCGAATTTCTATCTCAAGGCCAACGACGACGATCTTGGCCGAGTTCTCGGTCACGCTCGATTCAAGGTCGACCGCCGGGGGGTGGAGTCCTTGAGCCGCGCACGTCCTTGCACCCCGAGAGACGAAACTCGTCTTCAACCCTATCTGTGTCTCTCTCTCTCTCTCTCTCTCTCTCTGTCTGTCTGTCTGTCTGTTTGTCTCTCTCTCTCTCATTTCCCGCTCCTTTTTTCCCTCTCCTTTCCAACTCCTCTTTGGACGCCGGGTGAACGACCGACGAAAATGAAAGAGTGTCTTAACTACGAGAAAACCGTCGTTTATAAACTTACTATTTATCGATGATTCAAACCTTCTTTTCTTTTCGTAATGACTATACACTAAACTCTATTCATAATTCAACCATTCATAACCTCTCTATTCCGTCACGGAGACTCAACCCCCTTCCCCACCCTCTATCTCCCCATTCCCCCCCGTCCCATCCAAACATACCACGAACGCTATTCGGATTATATAAAATTCACAAACGCGGGATATATCGATTATTCGGTACACCTTGGACCGCGGGAGTGGCGGCGTCCGGTCGACGATAATCAAGCACACCTCGAAGCTTCACCAGGTGGACTCGTCGACGAAATCGTCGCCACTCTCGGGCACCCTAGTCGTCCATATAAAAACACTGATATACAAAACGTTCACTAGATCGACGTAAAACGTCGGCGAACAGCACGACGAGAACGGGTCGTGTTGCGACTTCGCTGGCTCGTGTGAGGTGCGAGTATCGCCGTTAAGAAGGTCTCCCGAGTCATTTATCGAGCGAATCCTCATTATTCCATCGCTCGTCGTTAGCCTGAATATCTAAGTCCCGAGTAATAACGATAAATCCTCGATGGCTCAATGTTGAGCGGGACGCTCGGCTCTCGACGGTCTTCTGACAATCGCACGCAAGTTTCGGGAAGATTTAACACCGTAAAACACTGAAAAGTGTGCTTCCACGAGCTTCTGAAAGTGTTATCCTGAGATACTATCCATATACTAGATATGACTAGTTTTCTGGACATGTTAGCGATTCACGTTTGCCAAAAACGCGTACAACACTCTGATACACGGAAACTTCGATTTGCCAAAAGAAGAAGAACTTGAAAGATAAAAGTTTCAACAACGAACCATTCCCTTTTCGCCATATGCTCGTCATCTAGTGTATCGATATCTCGAGATGTAATTTAAGACGTATCGATGCGATGATACGTGATGAAATGTCTTTTACCTGTTCCGCCTGTATTTCCACATCGGCTCTAACGCAATGACATATAACCAGTTTGCAATTAAAAATATATCACAGTGCTGTGCTCTACGTAGAGAGCAAGTACGAGGAACCTCACGAGTGTCAAATTTTCCCGAAAATCCGCGCATGTGCCGCCACGTGTCGAGGCTGTCCCGAAAGATTCGATGATGAAAAAAGGTCGAGAAACATATTTACCCGGATGTGTCCAATCTTTCGACGACGGGAGACCCGCGGCTACGCTGTCGTGTGTCTTCGTGAGACGATACTCCTCTCTCGATGGAATCATTAGGACGCGCGCCTGAATCTCCCGTCGATCGTTTTTCTCATAGCTAACGAATAGACGACCTTCGTGCAGCAACGTTCGAGTTCAGCTAGAACGTTCACGGGGCCCGTTTCTCATCGCGCGATTCCCCCGACGCCGTCGACGAAAATAGCAAAAGTACAAAATCGCTATAGTAATTACCCGAATAAAAAAGGTTAGCCTAATTTAACGTTAGCCTTATCAACTACGGAGCTAAGTGCGCCGTGCGTCGACGCACGATCGATGATAAAAAGACACTTGCTATCCTCTTAGAAATAAGCAGCTTGTTACGGCACCGTCATAGTGAAAAAAGCTATCCTCCTCCCCTACTTTATTATTAGCGGCGATTCATCTCGTTAATTAACAGTGTCTGCCGTAAATTCGTCGCTTCTCTATGTTCCGAGGAACCTCCGATACCAGTACGACTCGAAAGAATCCGACCGGGACTTCTTCCGTCCGCGTGTCCGCGCATCAAATTATGACAGGAAAGAAAGGAAATAAGGTGCTCCAATCGCGTGTTCGCGGCTCCGCTTCCAATTCACGCTCGTCAACGTGATCGTTGCCGAAAGCTCGACAGATCCTCCAAGGAGGCTTCTTTCAATTATCGTCCGTATAAAACACGCTGGCTTTATTAAACCTGAATTTTTCATGAAAATTAGCACAGTGTCTCTTCGTAATTTTCGAGTGGTATCACGTTAGCGATTAAAAAAATTACCCAAGTTTCTCAATTTAAATAAATAAATATACAATTTGCTAAATATATTTATGTACTCTTTGATACCACAAAATTCTCTCTCTCTTTTTCTCTCTCTTTTTCTTTCGTGAGATCGAAAGGGCTTTCGCGATCAATTTCGCGTCGAAGCGAGCGAAGCCGCGACAAATAATCGTATATCGATTCCCGAAACACCGCTAAAACCGTAACCGTTCCTCGCTGTTCTTGTCCCCCCCCTTTTTTTTTGCGATTAGGAACGCTCAGAGGAGCGGACAGTGGCGCGTACCGCTTGACTAACGTGAATTCTTATTAAAAATTGAAAAGTAGGGAGTACAGGCAACGCGTGCATCAGTCATGCACGCGTCATAAGGTGAAGGAAAATCTTTCGCACGCGCCTCCGATCGCGCGAGGAACTTGGAATGTCTCGGCACCAGCCGCCGCGCGCCAGTCTCAAAGAGAATCTTTGAATCGTTTTTGGAAAATGCACAAGCGCGTCGTAGTCTTCTCCACAAAGGCCAATCGCAAACTATAGGCATTACTCCGCAAGTATACCGTACAGTAATGAATACAAGTCGTGTTTCAACGTTCTTGGTCTACACGAAAGATAACAATAAATGACCGCTTGAAGCCTCTGAACTTAAATCCCGTCTGATTTCGAAGGCGATATCGAATTAATTATTTCGACACAGTCTAAGGTCTTCACGGCGCGTGCTGTGCGAACACTCAAGCTCCCTTAGGTCGATCGAACAGGCGTGTTGCGTTTGATCTGTGATCGAAGTGGCGAATTGGACAAAGGATCGGATAAACGAATGAAGAAGGTACGAAGTGCGAACCGAATTTGAGGAAAAATTAGGACGAAAGATAGAGAATACTTAAAGCGCTACTTGCTTGTTTGCTTGCTTGGCAATTGCTCATTTGGCACTCTGAGAAAACGTACGGTCGAGACGAAACGATCGGAGAAGAAGGACTCAGAAACGCGATCGTCCTTGCCTCCTGCACTAAACGCGCGAGAAATTAATTAACACGGGAGTTAAATTCTTCGCGCACGGGAGACGACGCGTCGCACGGCTCTCGCCAATGTCGTTCGTTGGCCGTTCAAGGAAGATTTTGCGTGCAGATACCGTCCTTAATAGCGCCGTCAGCTGACAACGCACGCGTTCTTCTCCCGTGCGTGTACGTATCTTCCTTTTTTTTTTCATTTTTTCACTTTTCAGCCCCCCTGTTTCTTCGTCTCACTCTCCTTCGATTCTTCGGTAAATCGTGAGCGAAACCACGCGACCACATCGAATCCACGGCTCTCGTTGGATTGTTCATGCTAGAAGGAAATAATTGTCTTTCGACAAAATCTGCTGTCCCACCATGCTTTTTTTCTTAGAGAGCACTCTCTCTCTTTCTCTCTCTCAAACAGATATCATTAGTACGAAAAAATGCGGAAGTTTTAGTAGTTTTTGAAAATACGATAGAATCTTACGATTAAGTCTGAAAGTGATGGGGTACAATGTAGCGTGTAGAATTCGAACGAGGATTCCCCTCTGTTATACTCGGGCAGTGTCTACCGTCGAGAAGTGCTCGCGTCCGAGACACGTGTTACCGTGAATCTTGCAGGCAAATGAAACGATTTGAACGGTTTGAACGAACGCGTGCGAAGAGAGAGAGCCGACGGAAACTCCCACGGGGATGAACGAAGTGGCCGCGCAGCCTCGCGATCCTCGCTCTGGCATACGCTTCGCACACACGGGGTATACTATGTTATCTCTCCTAAATATACTTCCCGGCGTAATGTGGATTAAGTATACTTTTTTTTCCGTTTTAAATCGAAGTAACGTAAAAAAGGTACACGATCGACTACACTACCTTGAGAACGGTGGGCGGTCTGTTTGTGGGACGGCCGCTATTGGTGGACAGCAACGACCAGCATCGCCAGAAAAAAAGCACAGGTTCTCTTCCTCTCCAAAACACTTACCTCTCTCCCTTAATATGTTATATACACTGGCTACTTCGGGCGATCACGACTTTCCGCTAAAGGGGCCCGGCACGGAGCTCAGGACGGTCGGAGGCTCTCGACAGAGTGAACCACCAAAACGCAGGATGAGAGTCGTTCCTTCTCGTCCAGACGAAAGAACGCGTGTGTGCGCGCGCACACGCGACACCGGGAGGCCTGTCGATACACAACTGATAACTGGTTCTCTCTCTCTCTCTCTCTCTCTCTCTCTCTCTCTCCTGATAATTTATCTCGCTTTTTGCAAGGCTGACGCGACGAATTTCGCCCGTTCGCTCGCCCGTCCGTTTGGTAACGCGCGTCCGTGCCGGGTGGCGGAAGGTCGCGGCACGCCCGACCGAATCAACGTTGAAACCCATCGAATGAGTCGTAGATCCTTAAACAAAATCAACATGGCCGCCATAAACGTATAAACTAATAAAATGTAAAAAAAACAACGTTCTCGATTATCTAAGTAACAAACGATAGTTATCTCTTCTTCATCTTTTCTTTTTGCCTTTCCCCTCCCATCCCTTCCTAGAGAGTAGCCCTTTTTGTTTTTTTCTTTATACACACGTTTACAATAAAAGGAGTCGACCTTGTTTCCGCGTCTAATATTGTTCATCTCTTTTCGCCTAAATTTATTTTTTGCGTTTAATATTTTTCTTTTTTTTCAAATAATTCAACTATACGAAACGGGAGACGGCGAAGTTGCCAACCTTGTCACGCGAAATTTGCCGGAGCTACTAGCGATTAATCAGCCCGTATCAGCCAAATTACGCGCACAATAGTGCAGATCTTAACGAAAAAATTTCACTAATTAAAAAGCTACATCATACGGAAACGCGTTCGTAAGGACGATCGTCGAGAAATCGTGTGCGCTAAAGAAACGTTAATTTACAGAAAGGGAGTGATACCATCCTACTTACACGTCTCAACGTATCGCGCGGATAAATGCCTAGATAGAGCGCAACGTACGAAGGAAATAAAAAAAAAAAAAGAAAAAAAAAAGAATACACTAGGTATGCCAGTCTCATTGCGCGCGTCATCGAACGAAAAGTCGGCGAGCGCCGATTCGACGTCTCCCGTTTGGAATCAACCTAGACAAACCTACAATTGACATTAAAAAGAAATATCTTAGACTTTATACGGAAACGCGCCTAGGGGCATCTACGCGCGTATCGCCGTCGTCGTCGTCGTCATCGTCGCGTTTATACTCGTAAAAGCATACGAGTGAAACCTCGGAATCATTCGAGATTACGGCACACGCACACACACACACACACAGAGTCGATACTTACGCGGTTACCGAGAGAGTCCGAAAGAAAAAGAATCTCTGAAGAAACGAATGCGAAAATGCGACGAGCCGGACGAAGGGAAATCTCGTGAAACGAAAGGGAGACTGACGGGTCGGAAAAAAATGACGACGAAAGTGACTGACGATGCGCGCGCGTGCGCGTCGGTGAGGATCGCGATCGGTCCCCCTTCCCCCGTAGTTTCGCGTTCGCCGTCGCCATCTCCTACGAAGTCAAAGAAGAGGATTCTACAGTATGCTCGTCCGGAACAGGGAGATCGGTTTGTAGAAGAGGGGACACAGGTCGGCCGCGGTGCGCAAACGGCGGCGGTTCGCTAAGTTCTCTAATGGTTACGGCCACTGGCTGTAGAGCTGAAACTGCTCGCGGGTGAAGCAGGCCGACAGCGGCTTCACGAAGTGTGCGTCAACCGCCCTGCAGTGCGGACAGGCGAAGACGCGGCTGTAGTCCGAGTAGAAGTTCAGCCGCTGGTGCGGGTAGATCAGGGGTTTCTGGCAGCTATTACACTGGAACGTAAACGGAACGACGGCGCGTTCAATTTCGTGTCTCCGTAGTGTCTTCTCGTCGAGGGTTCAAACCGGCAGACCGCACGAGGACGCCGCGTGCGTCCTCGATCGTTGAGTTCGCGGTTTGACAAAACGGCTTGACTTTCGCACTTCCGCTTGAAATATGATGTGCGACGAGCTTTGATTAAGGATAACGCGAAGGAATTTATATCAGACCGTGTTCTGTACCGATTAATGCCATACTGAGAAAATATATTGTGCTTCCTTTCTTTTTAACAAGTAGATGCGCCTCCACTGCAAAATCCAAGCGTGCAATTTTTATACGTTTACGTGTATAAAATAACGCAGTACTCATATTTTTAACGCATTTTTACGCGTGTCATCTTTTAACATGTTTCATCTGTGTTATATTACGCGGTTAAATGCGCACGCGCACATTTTAAATTAAATTAAAATATTAAATTCCATTCAAATTAAATTACACATTTAAAACGCGTGGAAAGATTTAATATTTCCTTTTTTTTTCATTTTTTTCTAACAAAAAATACGCATCATTAATCATGAATCATATTGAATTTCAAGCGTAAAACATTTCTCCTTTCCAAATGTGTATACTTTTATAATAAATTTATCGTATTACAAATTTACATTAGTCATGCAATTATAATTATCTGAAAGATTGGATATTTTTTAATTACAGAGAATATTAAAAGTTAAATATCATTGATTAGGAAAAAAAATTCTTCAGCGTCATTACTGAAATTTTTTTACGGTAAATGCTAAGAACTTCCTCTGTAATCTAATACGCATTTCCTCATGATTACACATAAAACTCGAGCGTAACTAGACCTAAACGTATAAAGCTGTTTTATGCGTGGACTTTTTATACGTTCGCATTAATTGAAAGTATACATTTTTCCATTTTTACGTATTTTATATATCGTATCGTATTATACACGGTGAAATGTATTAAATTACAAGCTTCGATACGTGAATTTTATTTTTTTTATACGAGGAAATAATGTAATTTTATAAGGAAGATAAAATCAGACGCATAAATGTACAATTTTACACGCACATAAGTGTGTACTCATTTGGATTTGCAATATAGACGCGATCACACACTTGGATTTGCAATATAGACGCGATCGCGAAAGAAAAGAGAACTAAATCACAGTTATTATTATCTCTGTTCATATATGATCTTAAAAATACACGTAAAAAATTACGTTGATAAAGCTTTCGAGCGCAGTGCGCGCGGCGTGGTATTAACAATAGCGTGCTGAAGGATCGGAGAGTTCGGTCGGGTCGAGGTCGGCTGGTCACGAATTCGGGACTTACCTTGAGTCGTTCGCTGCAGCAGGGCATAGCAGCGAAGATATCATAGCTGTACATGGTACCAAGGACCAAGCTCGATCCATCCCACGGTTGGGTGCAGCAGCGACAACGTACTGGCTGCCCGCCGCTGCCTTCCAAACAAGACATGCATACGGCTGACAAAAATTGCGTGCGACCTTCGACCTTCACCTGGAACGAAACACCGAACCGGATGTGCTATCGTAATGTTACACGCGCGGCATGGCTGCTGCGGCTAAATCGCCGTTCGCGAGATACGCGAACGTGACAAAAAACGAGCCGCCCGACGATGATGATTTTAAAGACTCCCTTGCGGAATCGACATGAGCTAAATTCGCGAACGGCCGATCGTCCATCGCCGATCGATTTATGCGATTTGAGGCGCGATGTTACACCCAGCGTTATTTTCCTGCCATCGGAATAAAAAAGAAGTGAAATACTGACTGCTACTTACGACGATGTAAAAGGAATGAAGTTGAATTTGGACGATATAAAAACATCGTACCTCGGCACAAGCGGGCGAATGCTGTCTGGGTGATAGGAAGAACGTGCCGTCCACCAACGGGTACCTGTCGAAAACTAGCATAGCAGCGCGGCAGAGAACGCAAGTGACTCTAGACCACTGCAGCGCGGCCAATGTCGACAGGATGAAGCATCTGGTGTCGTCGTTACCGTGATTGCCCTCGTCTTCCATCTGAAACGAATCATTAAGGAATTCATTATATGTTGCGTGATGCACGGTATACTGGAATAAAAAGGTGCTACCGCTTAATTAATGTTTACTTGATCCAAGTAGAATGGTTACTGTGATCCTCCTTGGTATATTTACTAGAAGGAATACAATTCATTCTATGCAATGAGATATTTTTCCCATATAAGTAGACGTTTATTTGTATACGTTAAAATAATTGCGGCAAGTATTAAATTCATAATATTGAAAATATCGGAATGTGCGCGTGTGTGTACATACAATAACATAAATAATGCCGAGAAGGCGACTTAATTTTAAAATAATTAATTAATTTTAATATTAAATCATTAATTTAATAATTCAATAATTAATTAATTAATTAATTTTAGGATAAACCACGATAATTCTACGATTTCGGGATGCAAACAGACACGTCTTCGTTAAAAGCTAGAAACCCCCTCCACAGTTTTATCAATATAGGCATTCTTCGTCAAAAACGAGCACCTAAATAAATTTATATATATATATATATATATATATATATATATATANTATATATATAAAAGAGAATAAATTTCTCTTCCGCCATTTTCCGGTAAAGATGAAAAACATCGGAGAAAAGTCAGTTTCGTTCTAAGCCAGTTACGGGTTCGGTCTTCGGAAGGGATTCGATAAAAAATATCACCGAGGCGTATCGCGCTAGCGGAGCAGAAGACTCGGGGATACTTCGGGCGGAAAGGATAGCCGGCAAACAACGTTCCCAATCCCCTCGCTCGATCTCGTTTCCGGCCTGTTTACGGGGCGCGCGCGAGTGACGATAATTTGAATGCGGAATTCCCCATCTGGTGTGCTGGCGCGCGCGAAGTAATAACGTCGCGGCGTCGACGAAGTTCGCCTCCTCCGCACGCGCCTTCTTGATCGTTGAAGTCCCGATTCCGCAGTAACGTTAGTTGTAGCCCTCGGGGGGGGGGG